GCTCGTTTCACCTGAAAATATGCTGACACCTACTGAAACTTCGAAAAAAGTCAAGTTATCGGAAAAAATTGCAGAAATCTTGAGATTTGGTAAGTTTTTTTCGCTATTGAGCTAAATTTACCAGAAAATTTTATCAAAACTTGGAATTTAAGAGGAAAATAGTATCAATTGATTGAACAATTTGCTGGCAGAGATAAAACTAGACCTGATAACATTTGATTTTTATTATGTAATTTCTACATGTTTTCTTTAGGTTCCCTTTTTCAGTTGATGCAGTAATTCTTTCACATAACTCAACGTAAAAACACCTTTTTGTTCTCCATTTTTATGTTTGCTTTTGAATGCTTGAACTAGCATCAAATTCTTCCTCATTTGAAAATTTTGAGAAAATTCCGGAAAAAAACTATGAGTAATAAGCAATTTGATACTTATTTTAGAAAAAAGGAAAGTAATTGATCCCAAAAATTGTAAATTTTCTTTAAAAATTACTGCAGCAACTGAAAAAGAGAACCTAAAGAAAACACGTACAGTTTACATAATAATAATCAAAACGTTCTAATTTTATCTCAAATATAGTCAGCAAGTCAGCAAAATATTTGTTAAATTGATATTTTGTTTCTAAATTCCCAGTTTTGACTAAATTTTCTTGCAAATTGACTTGAATAGCAAAAACATATATTAAGCAGAAACTAAGAAAAATATGTTTTAAAAGCAACAGAGAGATAATCATCAAGTATGAAGAAAATTTTGTTGAATTTCATTCAATATCTGATATACTTTAAAGAAAACTTTATACCATTTTTTTGTCAATTTTAGCAGTAAATCATTTAAATTTTCATCATTGGTGTGAAAATTTTAAAAACGTGAAAACCTTCTCAGAAGTTGTAATTGTTGTATAAAGTTGTGTTAATCATTGAGGAGGAGTTGATCCATGGAGTTTGATCTAGAAGTTTCCATGAAAATTGCTTTTATTGATCAAACGATTTGAAGTTCTTAGTTAAATTCTCGCTGAACGGAAGAATCTGCCACCGAGCATATTTCTTCTTCAAGATCAGTTTTATGCGTTCTGCTTATTCATCTGAACTCCCCGGACAAAGTTTTATCCTCCAGGTCTTGTTCCCGACCTTGAACACTTTCTTCTACACCTGACTCCCCGGACAAACTTTCTTGTCCCGGGTCTTGTTGATAAACTCGCCTGTTATCATCAACATCCTACTCCCCGGACAAATTTTCTTGACCCAGGTTTTCTTCAAGTTCTTTGCCTTTCTGGTCCTGATCCTCAAAGCTAACGGTTTTCCTTTGTGTCCTTTTCACTTGTTCCATTCGTTTGTATGATGTAATCTTCAGGACGATTTGGGGTACCGAGAAAACTAGTTGCTGAACTGTCGTCCTACAATCCCTTTCATTTTCCTTGTGTTGACGTCTTGATGGCTTAATCTTTACTTTCTCACTGACTGCTAGCGATGCCATGGCTGCTGCTCACTCGGGGTCATCTCTAGTCACTTCTCTCTAGAACAATTCACCCAGCATTCGCATCACTTGCGGAATGACCTGCAACGTTTTATCCAGCAGTGAGAGGCTGTTTATGTTCATACGAGAGAGTTCCTGTTGGACCAGGTTCGAACGTAGCAACAGACCCAAAAAACACCGGGTCCTTCTTTGATAAGATCTTTATTTCTGCTGCCTTTTTCACCGGTAATTCGGCGTGTCCTGGAATTGGATGTCCAGATTTGTCCAACCATCTTGTCAAGGGAAGCACCTCATAAGTTTTTTTGTTCAGAAACGAGAACCCTTCCTTGATTTCCGCCTGAATGGCTTGTTTCTGTTCTAGTCTTCCATAAAACTCAGTCTTCTTGCTGAGGCTGTCAGCATTCTGGTGTTTGTCGCACCTTCTGTGCTCGATTATCATGTGGTAGCCGTCTAATCTGACTATCCACCGACCAATATAGCTCTGGTCCATCGAGTACGTCTTCAACCAGGAAAAAGCTCTATGGTTCACGCGTAGCTTCAAGTCAACGCTCCCATATTTCATTTCAGCGTCACCATACAGTTTACTGTCATATGCAATGGGACGGAGAACTGTTCTCCCATTCCACTCCTGCTCCTGATTCAGTATACCTGAGATGGCTACTACTGATGCGTCTGTCTCAAGAACATACATGCCCTTCTCTGTAGGCTTGCCTAGCACTGGCGGTTCGCACAGTTCCCGCTGTATGTTCTCGAAGGCTGCTTGAGCTTCTTCGTTCCATTCGAATTTCTTTCCTTTGTTGCGCATCAGTTTTTGCATGGGGTACACCTTGTCTGCATATACTTTTATGAACTTAAGGTAATAATTGGCAAACCCCAGGAAGCTCATGATTTGTGTGTCCGTTCTGGGTGCCTTCCATGTCAACACAGCCTCTACTGCTTCCGGGTCTGGCCTTACACCATGCCTTTCGACCATTCTTCCCAGGTACTTGATTGAATCCCTAAGTATTTCACATTTCGATGGCTTGCATTTCAAGCCTGCTCTTTTCATCCAACCAAAGACCTCATCGCGTCGATCAATGCGGTCTGCCAAGGCGGGTATTGCTATGACCACGAAATCCACTTAACACATCACAAGATTCCTGTACTTCTTCGTTACTGTGGTCAAAGCCTGAGCCATCAGTCTTTGAAAGGTCGCCGTGGCTTTGCACAAGCCAAAGGGCATCCTCTTCCACTGGTACAAACCAATTCACAGGGTAAATCCGGTCTTTTCTCTGTCCTTCTTCCACAGAGGGATCTGCCAGAAGGCAGAACTCAAGTCCAGTGTGGTGAAGAACTTGGCGTCACCAAGTTTCGAGAGGCTCTTGTCTATTCGCAGTATGGGGTACGCATCTTTTATTGTCTCTGCGTTCATGTAACGATAGTCGCAACAAAACCTAGGCTGCCCCCTTTCTTTTTGTCCATGACAACCCCACAAGCCCAAGACGACATCGAGGGTTCTATCATGTCGTATTCGAGTAACATTTCTATTTCTGCCCGGCACGCTTCCGATTTATGAGACGTCATTCGTATTGCGCCTTCCCTATGAGGAATGGCGCCTTCCTCAAATTGTATTTCGTGTTCGACGAAGTTGCAACAACCAATATCCGTCTTATGTTTTGAAAATACGTCCGCGTTCCAATTTAAAACCGCCCTCAATGTTTCAAAATCTCCCTCACCTAATTTCCCTCTCAAGTATTCCATTTCCGGCAAAACCGGTTTGTCAGATTGTAGTTCGTATGACAGGGGGTATTCCGGTAAATTCGAGCAGCTCGACGAGCCGTCATCCGTTTCGGACTTCAATGAAAACAGTTTATTAATAGATTTAATTTCATCAATTCTTTTTAAAATTTTATCTTTATCAGCATGATTCGGGCAGTCTTTCACGTTTCATCTTTTCAAATTTGGTGTCTCCTCATAGTCGGTCTTCATCGGCAAAGCTTAACCAAGTTTCTTTCCCCGCTGGATCGAAACCGTGGTGTCCAGTGCGCTCAATAAGTTTCGTGTTACTGAAAAGTTTCGGCCTAAAATTACCGAGCTTTGGTTATTTGGGTTGGGTACCTGACAAACTTGTTTATCATCACTTAACGAGTTTAAATTTCTTATTCTAAAAACTGGTACTACAGCTTGTCCCGGCTGTAGTCTTACTTTTCTATCTAAAAAAACTGGCACCTTGTTTTCATCTGTTATTATTCCATTAATTGGGTCGCATAATTTACATCCGGTCGGGGTTTCTAATCCTTATTAGGCCGTTATTCAAGTCAATCATCGCATCGAAATTCCTGACGAAGTCACGGCCCAGGATGAATTGGTCGTAGTCGTCTAAGTTCTCTACCACCAGGAAGCTCATCCAAAGGGTCCGTCCTCCCATGTGAAGGAACATTATTGGTGTTCTTTCGGCTATGGTTTTCTTGCGGCCGCTAATCCGAGGTTCGTCGGAATTAGATTTTCCCTCGTGAAGCGCATTTCTTTCCCAAGTCTTTATCGGCATCACGCTTACCACTGATCCTGTATCCAGTAGTCCTGTTACTCCAATTTTCTTCCCATTGGTGTCTAGCAGATGTGGAGTCACCTCTGCTTCGCACCCTATGTGTACTGCATCTTGCTCCATCATGGCATCATGGCCGGTTCTACGGACCTTTCGTTCTTCATGACCCAAATAGATCTGCCCCATTTGGTCACTATCTGTTGTTACGTAGGTCCTAGTGTAGATACTGATCCCGTCAACGTTCAACATCACCTGATACGGTCCTTAGAATTCCACGTAGTGCCCATGGAGTTTCTTTGTTCGATGGCCACCCGTTGTCAACAACGCTCGCACAGCCTTTGACTAAGTTCGTGGCTCTTCCTGTCTCTGATAATCTGCATATGTATCTAAATGCATCATAATGAATTCTGAGGGTACACTTAGGTTCCTGATCAGCTGATGTCCCGCAACTGAAATTATTGACTGTATTCTCTTCCTTGTGGCACCATGCTGAAAGTCTGCTCAGAGATCACGTTTAGTTTCATGCTCAAACTGCTTGGTGTTTTCGTTTCTTAGCTTTTACTGAGTTTTCTCATTCTCTTGTTCGAGCTTCACTTTTTGTTCGATCTTCTTCGTCACCAGTTCCTGCTGGACTCTGTATGAGGCATCTCTTGCTGCTGCCTTATAGTCGATTTGGAAATCGTCTGCCGCAGTCACCGGTTCCGGTTTACGTATCTCTTCCGTTACTGCCTGCATCATCTTTGTTGCCAACTCTTGCTGTTTCTCCTTTCTGCGTACCTCCGCTTCACTCAACACGAGTGCCTTGCTGGCTTTCACACCCGATAAAGCTTCCTCATGCCCTAAATGCTTGATGTCCGCCACAGCATCCCAAAATTGTTAACAATCCGATTTAAAATGACCCTCCAAGTTACAAAAGAAACACCTTAGGCCGAATTTTGCAATTACTCCCCTCATGAAATCTTCATGATCGACCTCTGACGCATCTTCATCCTCGAGGCTAAAGTTTACCGCTTTCATACCCTGTTTGTAGGTTGGAAGTGCTGACACATGTTGGTCCGTCGAACTGCAATTTATACAGGAGCGTCTCTTGTCCATATCATCCCTCGGTTTGTACCAATTGTTCCTTTGGTTTGCTGGTCGGTTGTTAAAATTTCCATAATTGTTCTTGTAGTATCCAGATCTTGAAGGAGGTTTCAACAAAAGATACTCTTTTGACTTGAGTCTCCACTCTTCTGGTGTTGGCGCATTGGTTGAAAGTGGTGTGTAATGCGTCGCTACTATTGTT